GTGTTGTTTCATATTCATAAGATGAGCTAATTGTTTTCTTCTTTTTCTTTGCCTTTTGGTTTGTATAGCTCTTTAAGTCAATTCTTTTATCGATAGAACTTGTGTCCTTTTCTCAAGGTGTTATGCTAAGATGTCTAAATCCTTCCTTTTGTAAAATCAAAACTCAGTTTGGTGTTCTTTTGAAACCTAATTGTTTTCTATTCATTGATGATTTATGCCCTATGCCTATTTGGTATAAAATCATTCTTCAGAGTGACGCTTGAGCCCAAAAAAAAACCTCATCAATTATTTGATTTGAGTGAGTTGTATTCTGTTGTTTTGATGACAAAAAAGTGATCATTTTGCGGTTTTACATTTTTTGATATTTATGATTCTGACTTTCCATTTTGGTTTTTTCTTGCCRATAGTATTTTGCAGCTACATTGTCATCAATTGGAGCCATAAGCACTGGTTTTATTATAAAGAAATTTAGGTAAAAAAAACCAGTCTTTTACAGACAAAACAAAAACCTAAAACTAACAAACTCAAACAACAAAAATCTTCCTTTTAAATCAGAGAGGTCATTGAAAAGAGTTTCTTTCCCAAACTAATGGGATAACTTAAAACACCAGCGAAGGGGACACATTGAAGTAATCAACATAACAATCTACTTCGTTTGGTTGTGTTTGTTTCCTCAACGCATGAAAGGGGCTAACCAACGCATCTCTGCTCCATTTCCATTAGCCAAATAATATATCTTCTTCCAGTTTTCTTCTGAAAATACTTCACGCCGAACTAATCTTTGCCTGCAACAATATCAATACTATTCGGTTTAGATCTCTATATTGTACTCAAGAAGATGAACTCAATGATGACATCTGATTGTTATGATCAGTAGAAGATTAGAGAGTTGAGTGTTATTATTACTATCTCCTAAAGACGTAAAAAAAAAAGTCATGTAACTCACCGAAGGTAGTAATAGCAAACGGCTTCTGCTTCTTCTAAACTATAACGAGGGAAATCCTGACGAGCATCAGCTGGAACATCTGGCAAGTCTTTACGTAGCTTTCCTACTGCTGTTGAATGTGAGAATGCACCG